CCTGTCCTACAGGGTCGCTATGAGTTGTGATGGACTCGACAGCAACGGGTTTTGGTTTTATGGGTAGATACACTGTCGCTTCCTCAGCGCCCCCGCTCACAGACACCCCAGTCAGAATGAACGGCTTGGTCCTCTGCACTCCTACAGCTCGTTCCCTCATGCCGTTCCAGCATGTACCATACTACCTGAAGTGTGTCCACTTTTATCTCTGTCTCCTCTATGCTAACTTCTTTAGGCCAAGCAATATCTCTCACTCATTTTTGTACTAAATGTATGTTGAATGAACAAAAGAGCAAATAAATATCTTTCTTATATCTTTAGTCTGTCAACATAGGGAAACAAAGGCCTAGAATATTGTCTTCATCACACTATCAAAATGAATCAGTGTCAGCAACTTTAAACATTAAGCTGAAATCAAAATGATGAATTTAAACAGGAATAAGTACAAAATCCCAAGTCTGGGTTACTAAGATCAATAGTATGAATGCAGGACTCACGGGGAAAAATTATTCATTCATTCGTAAGATCAGACTTAGACTCCGAGTTCCATCAACTCTAAAACCAAGAATCCTATAGCTGATCCCCAATTATTCAGGAAGGCAGTATTTAAGAGCATGGGCTTTGGAATCAGACAGAGCTGGGTTCCAGTCCTGCCTCTGCCTCTGTAGCTATGTGAACTGGGAAAAGCTACTCACACTCTCTAAGTCTCATTTCCTCAGCTGTAAAGGGGGATGATAATAGTTCCTACCTCATTTGGGCTGTGAGGATTAAATGAGATAATTTATATAAAGTGCTAAATATAGTACTGAGCCCTTGGTAAGTCATCAGTAAATGTTAGCTAATGGTAATATAAAGTGTTCTTCAGTTCATTTGACTGTCCTTCAATTTATTTCGGTCAATCATTTTGCTGCGAGTTTCTAAGTCTGCAAGCTTCTATATACTAGAGCAATTGTTACAACAATTTAAAACCAAAAACTAGAAGCATTCTAGAAAATTTTTAAATGTTCTATTCCCTTGAGAAATCAAAAAAAAAAAAAAAAGCTAACAGTACAAATGGGGATATTTAAGGATGTAATTTAAGGAATTTGTGATTAAAACTAGGTGAGGCTAGGAAGTTATTAATGTATGGAATGGCAGAGCTAGGCTAGGTCACGGTAACCTCAGAGAGCCTGTTTCTCCTTGGAAGACCCCTATTAGACAACAGAAGTAAAAATCAATCCAGCAAACTGATTTTATGAGGACTAAATCATGCCAGACCAACTCAATTTCCTTCTCTGACACAGAGACAGGCTTCAGTGACACAGGGAAGCAATAGGTATCAGATATGGTGGCTTCAGTTAAGTCTTAAATTCCAACCTACGCAATAGTCTAATCTAAAAAACTTAACTGAATTCTGCTGGCCAGAAGAGATGACCTCCAAAACGCAAACACCAGAGGCTCAGTATCACTGAGGGAGTGAGCAGAAGGAGGTAAGAAACTTTCCTTTGTGGGATGGCAAAAATATGACCCCTCTCCGCAGCGAAAACCAGAATCCATCCAATGAACATTTATTGAACACCTGTCATACGATAGGCCCTCAATCTGGACAGGACTAAAAGAAACTGAAGTGAGATTTAAAGGCAGATATGCTTAAGTGGAGGGAGCCCTGCGGCGCAGTGGTTAAGCACTGGGCTGCTAATCGGAAGGTTGGCAGTTTGAACTCACCAGCCCCTCCTCGGGAGAAAGAAGTAGCAGTCAGCTATCATAAAGATTACAGCCTTAGAAGCCCTATGGGGCAGTTCTACTTTGTCTATAGGGTTACTATGAGTCAGAATAGACTCCAGGGCTATGAGTATGTTTAAATGGGGCTTTTTGGTAGACACGGTCATGGAATTGAGGTGGGGTAGGGAAACAGCTTTGAATGGGATTCCATTCAAAGAAATAGAATTTTTGGCCTGGGCCAGGTTTTTCAATGAAGTGGGTAAAGGTGGAGAGAAATTTTTTTTTGAGAAACTGTGGGATCAAAAGGGCACTTAGGAAGATCTAGGATAAACAGATTCAAGCGAGAAAACTTCAACAGCAAGAACTGGAAGGAAGAGAAAAGAGGGAGGGAATCTAGGAAGAGCTGACAGGACTGAAGACCAAGTTCAAACTAAGGGTAAGTTCAGGAAGGGTGCCTATTCATTCAGAAAACCTTTGTTAAATCCCAACCACGTGTTGCACATGTGTTAAGCACAGACAACATGCAGATGAACTAGACCCACTCCCTGCCCTCAAAGTTCCTGAGGCTGAGGTGGCCAGGAGAAAAATGACATCAATTTGACACTCAACAAGAATGACCAAGGGCCTAGAAAGAAAGGACTCTTGAGGACTGAGGAGTTGGGGGTAAGTAAGGGTTCTGAAGTGGTTGAGGGATTATCCATCCCTGGACAATTTAACTGAGATTCCATTTGCCTTGGGTAGATGACCCCCAGAGACCCCTTCCAGCTCTAGAATTCAAGTGATGAAACCATTTTTGTTGATTTTGAGTACTGGAGTCTCCAGAATCTCTTCCATTTGCCTCTGTCCCTCACCCCACCTCCCATCAGAAAAGGACTGATGTTAAAAAAAAAAAAAAAAAGTCATTCTGGCTTCTTATCACAATACAGACACGGGAAGCCAACAGCTGCTCCCCAGCAGCCTGAGACAGAATTCATGGGTGGAACACTGGCAGGGGGAGCAGGGAGTAGAAGAGAATAAAGAATCTGACTAGTCTGTCTCCCTGGGTATCTGAAACCCAAGAGATTTATAGCTTACTTAGACAACCCACTCTGGCTAAAGATGACCAATTCTCGGTCTGAAAAACCCAAAGGAATCAAAACACTCTTCCAAGGTTCCTTGGGAATGCCAAGGGAAGCCTTGCTTCAGTCTTGAGCTTCAGAAATCAAGGCTAATGGAAATTTCTAGGGAATTAAAAGGATCCTGCCCATGACAGTTTTGCCAATTTTCAGGTGCTGTCCTGGGACTGAAGCTTGGATGATGCAGGTGTTCCAAATCACCTGCCTGGTAGGTTTGTCCCATGTTTGGCAGGGTACTATGAATGAGAGGACTTGTCCAAGGCCCCACCTGTTGCAGGAACCAGATCTCATGATAGATGGGATATGACCAGGATGGCAGAGTAATAAACAATTAAATGCTGGAAAAGACTTGAGGATCATATACGTACATATTTAAAATCAGTTGCCATTGAGTTGATCCTAACTCATGGCGATCCCATGTGCATCAGAGTAGAACTGTGCTCCATAGGGTTTTCAAGGGCTGATTTTTTGAAGTAGATCGCCAGGCTTTTCTTCTGAGGTGCCTCTGGGTAGACTTGAACCTCCAACCTTCAGCTAGCAGTCAAGCGTGTTAACTGTCTGCATCACCAGGGACTCCTTGCATATATTTAGCCATCCCATAATGACTCTCTCACACACCTACACACAGTCACCATGGCAACCATTCCCTAAAGCTGTACTTGATGTTCTTTTTTCACACTAGATCTTTTTAGCCTTACTTCCCTGAAGTGCAGTTTTGGCCTTTGACTCTGCTGAGCAGTACCACGCCTGCTGGTGAGATGCTCCCACACCCAACATTCACCAGGTCCCCTTAGAAGGTCCATGTCTTAACCTTATTCTGACACTGAATCCAGCCAACAAATCATTTGGAAATTTGATCATTGTCATTGTTAGGGAAAATTAGAGACAAACAGAGTGTTACGTCCTGAAAAGCTTTCACTGACAGTTCTTGTCAAAACTTTAGTCACAAAGTTCATGTGAAAAGCTTTGGTCCTAAAAGATGGAGACACCAGTTTTCAAGACTAAGGTGACATCTCTTATTTAGGAGGCATGGATTTAGGATTGCTTATCTTTTAAAAGTAGTTCACATTTCTTTCTTCCTCCTTATCATATACACTATGCTTCAAATTAGCCTCATTTCATATTAGATTTCATGACTCAGAAATAAAATAAAGGGAAACAGTTAAAATATTCTTATCCAAATATTAATCTGGCTTTTGACAATATCCATGTAATAAGCAGTAATTTTTTTTCTTTCAATGTCATAACATGTTTAAGATTAAACGTCAGTCTATAACAAGGAGTATATTTTCATCTCTACCCTACAATTATTAGTACATATATGCTTTTTTTTCTTTAATACCCTGATTTTGGCTGGACCAGAAAGTTCTTTGCATATCCTTTTATCTCTGCTAGACAGGGAATGGCCTAGGAAAGAGTATTTCACTTATAGCTATAGTCCAGTTTTATGTCCTTCCTCATATAAAACATTGAGGCACCATGGGTGGGAAGAGGAAGTCCTTACTATAAAACAACTCCTTGAAAAGTAAGCTTAAGTGCAGAACTAGTGATGGGGAGGGTGAGCATTCATTTTGCCCTGCACTAGAAGTCTGGTTTTTGTAGCCCGCGAGGGGGCTCCTTCCCAACAGGGAGAAAAGGCAAAACGACAAGAATGACTCCACCCAAGCAATCGCGGTCAGTCGCCTTGTCTATAAGTCGAATGCAGAGAGGCCAGGTGGCCAGTGGATGGAGAAGTGACCTGGCTGGGTATGCAGGTGGACAGAGCGGGAGATGGGAGATGGACCACAGCAGGACAGTGGCGACCCTGGCGGGTCGGGGGTGTGGAGTGGGCTGAGGATGGGCTGGGGAATAGGTGCGCGTGCGAGTTGGGATGTTGTCCCACCTCATGCATCCCCCGGCCAAGGAACGTTATCATAGGCGGAGGCAAAGAAGTGTTGGGTTTTCCCGAAGCTCAGAGAATTCGCTCTCACTGACCTCGAACCTCTCCCTCTGTCTCTCTCCTTCCCTATCTCTCTCTCTCTCTCCACTCCACCCCCCGCCCCGCAAGGCCGAATTCTCCGAGGAGACTGCGCTGTGCGCTGCCACTGGCGGCTCCCGCCCTCCGGGTTCTCACTCCCCTGACCCCGACCTCCCCGGCGCCGGGAGAGCGCGGCCAGGCAGGGTCCGAGGAGCAGGGCCACTCACCTGCGTGCAGGCCGCCGGCCTCGGCGCCGCTGTCCTGGGCGGCAGCGCTGGGCAGAGCGTCCGAGTCGGTGTAGGTGAGCCAGGTGGACTCGGTCTCCCGGGTCCAGCTCTCATAGTAGCGGGGCTCGATGGCATCGGCCCGGCTCCCGCCGCAGCCCATCCTCCAGTGTTACGGGCGCGCCCGGCGGCCGCTCCGCTGGCGACTCCGTGCAGCTCAGCCCCGGCAGCGCAGCCTGGGCTCGCGGGGAGGCGGCGGCGGCGGCATCGCGTACCCGCGCCCGCCTGCCTGCCCACCCCCCCGCGCCGCAGCCAGGCGCGGAGCTCTGGTGCCCGCAGCCCCCTCCGCCGCGCCCTCTCCCCGCACGCCCCTCCTCTCTGGGCTCCAAGGCCCTCCCCTTCCCCACCTCTCCTTTCTCACCTCCCCTCACCTTCGCTGCTCTCCCACCCCGCCTCAAGTCCCCCGCTCTCCCGCACCCTCCCTCCGTGAGCCCCAGCCAGCCAGGGCAAAGGACCAGCTGCCCCGGGGTGGGAGGAGAGCTAGGAGGTCCCTGAGGGGCTCCGCCTTGGCCGCCATGGTTACCTCGTCCAGCCTGTTGCCTATGCGGCCATCCAGCCATTCACCCACCCATCCATCCACCAATCCATACTAACATCTGCCTTGGGGAGAACGGAAGCATTTAAGGGGACACCAAGTTTCCTGGTCACTTGTTCAGAAAACCATGGAGCCGGGACAAGTTGGGGAGAAAGTGTTACCACTAAGGCAGAATTAAGGAACAGTCAGACTCCTGCGCCTACTTACTGGCTTGGGGAGTAGGGCATAGGGCCTCTGATTTGAGATTCTGGGCTAGACGCTTTGTAACTAACACCTCTTCCAGTTCAGTGACTCTGTGATCCTCCGAACTTTGTTCTCAAGAAAGCAAAAGAGGACCAGGAATCGCATGGCATCCGGGACACCTTCTCTGGGTGGAGCTGGAAGGCTCTGCTAGCTTCCCCCTCCAAGGCCGGGACTGCCTTGACATGGAGGGATGGGGGTGAGGGGTGGTTGAGCCAAGGTCTAGTTGTCATCCTTTCGTTCCCCTGTCTATCCCTAGACCCCTGTGGATTCAGAGCTAGACCCCAGACTTGGGTGAGCCATTAAGTTTACCTGTTTCAAAGAACACAGAAGGAAAACACCCTTAAAGAGAGGGCTAGGAAAGCAGAAAGGGTTGAAGAATAAATCCTCAATGGCCAGGCTCTGCTAGAATAGAATATGCTGTAGAATAAGTATCATATTCATTTAACATATATTTATTGAAATACCTATTATGGCAAACACTGTGCTAGTATATATACTAGTGGCTAAAATATAAGTCAGCTGCCCTTGGCCCACCCCTCTGGCTGAGGATTGTGTGCCTGGGTCATGTGGTCTGTCCTCAAGGGGTTTTGAAAGAGGTCATTGCAAGCCCTGGAAGTAAGTTCAGGGTCTTTAGTACAGGGAATTGCAAGGTGGCTATGAGCCAGAATCAACTCGACGGCAATGGGTTTGGTTTTTGGTTTTTGGTAGGTATTCAGCAGGTAGATTAGAAGAGAGTAGGACTCAGGCTCCAGGTGGGTGCATTCTATGGGCCCTGGACTTCTTGCCCATAGGAAGAGTCAGGGCCAAAGGGCCAGAGTGGGACCTCAAAAGCAGGGGTTCAAGGCAGGGCCTCTCTTACCAGCTACTGCCCATTGATTTGAATGGAATTATGAACATGTCCAGAATGCAGTTATTGTTGTGTGCCATCAAGTCAATTCCGAGTCATAGCAATCCAGTGTGACAGAGTAGAACTGCCCAGTAAGGTTTTCTTGGCTATAATCTTTATGGAAGTACATCGCCAGGTGTGTCTTCTGCAGATCTATTAGGTGGGTTCTAACCACCAACCCTTTGGTTAGCAGAATGCAGAAGATAGTTGTAAAGTGCTGTCAAGCTTGGGTTGGGCACGGTCACTCATTCCACATTTCTGGGCATCTACTGTGTATATTTTAAGCTTCTCAAGCATCAGGATATTGTCTCATTCAGCTTAGAATCCCCAAGAGGGATTAATTCAGTGCCTTCATATAGTGAGTGCTCATCAATTATTTGTTTAAGGAATGAATAACAAGAGACAACATGGGGACGTGGTTAAGCGTGTGGGTTCTGGAGCTGGACTCTCTGAGTTTGAAACTTGGCTCTGCCGCTTACCAGTTGCATGACCTTGGACAAGTTGCTTAACTTCTTTGTGCCTCAGTTTCCTCGTCTGTAAATAGGGATCCTTAATTGTGTGAGTATATGTAAAGTGCTTAGAAGAGTGCCTGGCACATAGAAAGCACTCAATCAACTAACTGCACTTTTGAGGCAAGGAACAAGCGCGACATCTTTCTCCCTTAAGGAGCGTGTCTCTGAAATCGTTATGTGTTTTCACATGAGGTAATACTTGCGAATCTGCCTAGCACATTGTAGGAGTTTGGTAAATGTTAGTCTTTTTCCACCCCCCTTTCCTTTTTCCTTCCATTACAATGTTATGACAGACAACCTTCCCGTAAATAAAATCACTGTTCCTATATAATCATCATCAACAGAGCAACATTTCTATTTTTCCATGGAATATGTTCTGGCCATTACATAAAACCATAGATTCAGAGAATTTTGTTGTTGTTGTTATTGTAATTGAGTCAGCTTCACTTCATGGCGACTAGACGTATATCTTCATGATCATTGATATGTTTGAGTCCATTGATGTGGCTATTGTGTAGTGCCTTCCAACCTAGGGGGCTTGTTTTCCAGCAGTATATCCAACAATATCCCGTTGTGATCCATAAGATTTTCATTGGCTAATTTTGGGACGTAGATAGTCAGGCCTTTCTTCCTAGCCTGAGTCTGTAAGCTCTGCTGAAGCCTGTCCACCATGGGTAACCTTGACGGTATTTGAAATACCAGTGGCATAGCATCTAGCATCACAGCAACACACAAGCCACCACAGTATGACAAACTGACAGATAGGTGGTGGTCAGTGAATTTTAGAACTCAGAAAAACTTAGAGATCAGCTAATCTCGTCCTTTGATTTTACCAACAAGGAAATTCTAACTCAGAGAGGTTTGCAGAATTGTCCGGAGTCTGGCAGAACTGGAGTTTGAACCAGTGCATGGGATTTCTGACTGCTGGTTCTATACTCTTTAAATTACTATGCTCTAGTTAGTACTGGATTTACTCCTAAACCTTGAGCTGTAATAAATTATATTAAACCATCTTTTCAGAATTTATAACTTGACTAGCAAAGGAAGAGGTTGGGTCATTAATTGATCATTAAGTTTGAAAGCAACAAAAGATAATTATTCTAAAGGGAGGGTTAGGTAATGCAAGGGGCCTTGCCACAGGGAATTGGAAAGCCCTGGCCAAAGCCATCCAAAGCAATGAAGTAGGTTATACCTCTAAAAACTATTGTTGAATGGTATTTGTTATGTGATGGACTCTCAAAATAAAGCATCTGTGGCTTTAAGACCTATTGTCCTGGGTACTACCTCCGGCTTGTTTCTATGGAAACTCTGAGCAGTAGACTTTGGGGCCCAAAGCCATCCCGCCTCCAAGGTCTTATTTCTGTGGCTCAGCTTCACTGGCTCTGCAAATTATTGTGAGCTGGAGAAAAGAGACCTTCAGTGAGGCAGATAATCAGGGCCCATGAAAGAATGGAGGGCTCAACAGGAACCTAAACCCGCCTTCAGGATCAGTCATCTGAAAAGGGGTAAAGATAGATTCACTGCCTTGAAAGTTTCAGTTTGTCCAAGTGACAAAGCAATAAAAATGAGGAACAATAGCAGCAATAATTCTGGCCAACAGGGTGCAGACCCCAGGAAGGTTTCTTTAGTCCTGGATGCCAAGCCTCAGCGGGTTTCCCACTGCTCCGGATTCCATGAGCATACCAGAACTACAGCCCGGTGTCCTCTCTCTGGATGATTTTAAAGCAGTTTCCCCTGAGCACCTCACCTCCAGTCCCCAATCTTGGCTCACTGGCACATCCTCATTGAGCTACAAATTGTAATTTAATTGTAAAGGAAGAGAGGTCGAGGTTTGCAACTCAGAGCACAAAATCTGAATTTATTCCCCACATCTGGAAAAAGAAGTCAGAAAATGTCATTTGCCATTAATCCATTTATGCATCCCTCACCTTTGAAGAACTACTGCATCCCCAGGGAGATAAGTGGTTCACTTGGCATTCAGGTGATGCATTATGACAAATATTATGACAAACAGAAGTGGAAACAAGAAAGGGAAACAAATATTAAAATGGCAAGAGGATAAATGAGACTTTGACTTGGTTTCAGAGGTTAGAAATCATGAAAGAGGAAATTTTGCAAAAAACAAAAGGAAGAAAGAAAATACTTGGATATGTTACCACAAAACAGTTTATATACAAATGAAATTTAATTCTCCCTCCATTAGTCTTCAAACCAAATAGTTCCCATGAGAAGAGAGGTCAGCTTCTTTGGCTGGATTCTAGAGATATTAGGAAGGTCTTTTAGTGGCTGCAAAGTTCTTCAGAATCTACCTCAGTGCTTGGATTAATGTTGTGTAGTACTTTATCATACCCCAAATTAAAACTCAGGAAAAAGCACTTTGTGAAGTTTCCAAATTTCTGATTTCATTACACTTTCTTTTAGTATAATACCAGCTCATTGATACAATGTAATGAATAACGAATTTGTTCTCTTCACAGGGACTATGAGTCAAATTCTATTGCAAATGGCCTGGGGAGGAAAATGTGGTCAAGATGAGGTAGACTGGTGGATTTTTTAAAATAACAGAACAATTTCAAATTGTAGATTATAACGATTAGAAGAAAAGAGGAATGAATTAGAAGCAAGGATGGATCCAGAAAGGCATATTTCAAAGAGAATTCCAAAAACCCAGAGAAAAACCAAGGAAGGTTTTTATAAAACATCCACATAGTATTACATATTCATAAGGATCTTTAGAGTCATCATTATCTCTTGCTTCTAAGATTGCACTGGGCAGATTAATAACATTTTCCTCTGCACTACTATTCAGCTGGAAATGTTTAGTAATTTGCCAAACATTACTATAAATGTCAGGAAAAGAAAGATTAAGGCCATAACCATGGATTCTTAACTGCTCTTTAGAAGGAAAGAGGGGCAAATTGTACCAT